AGTGTTTCTATGCTATATCTTTAAAATCATTGTATAGTAGCATTAAATAATCTGAATATTAAGTTAATATACTTTTTTTTGGCTTATGAAAATTATCCTGTTTGTTCAGTCTTTTCTTACTCTATGAACTAGCGTTGTTTTTGTATGCCTACATCAAGTTCACACACGTCAGAAACGGTGGGCAAAATAACTATGTACTGTATCAACAGTGAAGCTAATCTTCGTGTGTCTTTCTTCAATTCCTGCATGTATATCAGCTCTGTGTTCAACTAAACAGGCTCAGGTTTCACACCGAGTAGGTAAATTGAAACTAGAACATCATTGTGTTTCTTTACATATATTTGTGGCTCAAAAAGGTTGGGAAATACTGGCCTATCAGCATAAGTGACAAAACACCCCTTGACCCTTTTCCAGCTGTTTGATGTTCAACAGGTTGATAATCAGCTGGATCGGCTTTAAAGGAATACTTCGTGTGAGTATGTGTTTGCTGATTAAATGTTTCTCCTGCTGCTTAATTACAGAGAGAAAGCTCATAATCATCACCAGTCGTCTCATACCTGCTGTTTCTTTGGACAGTGTGTGTGTGTGTGTGTGTGTGTGTGTGATCAAATGGACATTGTGTAAATGGATTTTTTATTGGGGTTTCGGAGCAAATTATAAGCAGAGTTACTTCAAACGGCACACACACACACACACACATCTGGACTTGAGTGTCTGGACCAGTTGCTGCATTATTCAAAAAGCTTTAGTTATGATTTATTTACTGTGTGTGTGTGCGTTGTGTGTTAAGGGCAAAGAAAGTGCAAGTGTGGCTAAGGCTGGAATCCAGGAGTCATTTATTTAAAAAGATGTGCTTGAAATTATACACAAATACTACGTGCCATCTTTGGCTATTTAAATAAACCATGAATAAAACAGTTCATGGCCTACACTGTATGTGTATACCAGATTTTGACCAATGGAAATCAGTGCTGTCCATATTTCCCCCGTGGGGTAATGCACTCTAGACAACCTTTTTTTTTTTAATGTTTCACTAAGGACATAAATGAATCTCCTCCGGTACGAACCGACTTTAATTTACTGCTCACTCAAACCTGTTCTGTATTAGATCATTTTGATCTGTACATCAGTATATCCAGGCAACATATTTATAGAGAGTTTATAGAGCTTGAACTAAATGTTTTTCAATTTATAAAATTTAAATGTTGGGAAAATGGTCTCCTGATGTGAAGGTAAAAGGATGATGTGTGTCTACTTGATTTCTGTCTTTTGCTTACTGTGCCACAAAAACTTTGGAACATTTTTTTACAAGTTATCCTGCCAAAAACAGTAAAAAATGCCAGTCAAAAAATACCTTTTGATATTTTTGGTTTTGGGATAAGGACTCTCCTTCCTCCTCCCCTTCCTTCTCCCTTTGCCAGCAGCTTCCTAAAGGCAAA